TCAACTCTCGATTATCCGGGATAATGGTGGGGATGGAAATCACGATTAATCGAAAACCCGGTTAAGACAAATTTTATTAAAAGTAGTACTGTAATACTGTACCTTCATAATACTATAGGCCTACCTGTATTTAAATTTATTCAACCTCATTTTTATATCATCTCATGGCCTATTTAATACTTCTTTTTACATTACACTGGAGTATGAATTAGTTATTTCAATCCAGTGTTCAACAACATCCAACACTTTTTACGAATATTCACACTTAACACTTAAAAAAATTAATGTTGTCATTTGCTTTTTCGCAGCATTTTCCTTTTTACGGATATCCGTACAAAACCTACATAATATTAGCTTGTCACTTAATAAACTGTTCTCTTCACTCTCAAGATAGTCTAGTAAGGATTCCAAATGATTAAGAGCAGCACCATGTCATATTTTCTCACTAGCAGCACTGTCCACCTCTTCCTCATTCTCACTTTCTTCCCGCTCTTCTGGCTGCTCCCCCACTGAACTTACAATTTCGTCACTGCTCGACATTTCGAAGCCCGGTTCACACGAGTTTCTGTTGAATACTTAACACAACATGCTTCCTTTTACACCCTGACATTTTGCTAACGCACTTGAAGACTGATACAAAGAGACTAACTGGGGCGGTGTATTTGTCCTTGAAACTTTCCACAATTCCTTGCATTCTTTCACCCCTACCCTAGAACATTGTGTTAGCATAACGGGACCAAAAAATGCAGAGCTCGGTTCACACTAGTGCGAAAATAGTGTTGCAACTCACCATGTGAAACAAAACCGAATGAATATTAAACAACATATAGGCCTCAAAAAAGCCCCGTTTAAGCCGCAAACTGATTTATTTGCCCCCGGATAATCGAGAGTTGAGTGTATTATTATTGTGTCACATTGTGTCTTTGTCTGTGTGCATTTGTTTCTGTATCTTTATTCATGCTCACTTTGTAATTAATGTAGACTATCATATTTTGTATTGTTTTTTAATTAATGTTGTGTATTTCGATTTCTTTGTGCTAACTTTGTAATTGGCCTCTGTGCTGTTAAGTTTGCACATAAATAAACAGGAATTGAATTGAATTATTATCTGGAATAGGGGATTTTAAATCTCCCAGTACTGAGGAGCTAGTGGATGTATTTTAACATGAACTGAAAGAATGCAGTTTCAAGTTAAATATTGAACATACATGTTTGGTCTAATATATGTGCAGTTATAAGCATTGTGTAAGAGTTTATTAAAGATGTATAATGTAAGAAATGTTCAGTTACATTATTCTGGTACAGTTTGTTTTAAACCTAATATTTTGGTTGAGTTGTCAGCACTCCTTTGCATTCAGGAGGTGCTGGGTGCAAATTTCAGCCTTCAGACAGGTTGTCTTAACTTGTGTTCATGTATTTTCTAAGCCACTGTAAGAAAATGCCAGGCTAGTGCCCTAAATTAGGCCATGACAGCATCCTTCAACATTGCTAACAATTTGTTATTCACAAATCATCCGTTTATTTGGACTTGTTATTCTTCTTAGTCAGGAATATCATTAAATACACTAGTCACAGAATATGTCATCATGTCACCATCTGTTTCTGTTTCTTCTATCAAGTTTTATAGGTAGTGGATCAGAGTCTTTGGTTTCTACACACAGTTTACACCTTGCCTCATAAATCTCTCAATTTATTTATCACATGATGATTAAGTATACTGTCACTTCCAGAATGCACAATTTCTAAATAAGACACAGAGTCTGAAATCATCGTTGTGATAGTTACTGAAAGGCCTTTAAATGTCTAATGAATTAATTTCTCCATATAAGAGTGTTTTCATACATTGTGTATCGCACTTGAAGTTCTCAAAACAGTGAATATTAAAGATTGTATTTGGGGGAGGGAGGAGTTGGATGAGATGCTATGTAGTCTGGCAGATAACTGCCAGTGTTTCAGAGGAACCTGCTGCTTCTATTTTCAGGGTAGAAGAAGTTTTCTGCCCTGAAGAAGAAAGCAACAGGTTTCACTAAAATTTTGGTACATACCTACCAAACTACATAGCATCACATCCCAGAAGACATTGATCTTAATACATAATGTGTATTGAAAAGAAACAATTTTTTGTTTCATTAGGTTAAAGCCATAATTATATCACTTAATAAGGCAGCTTTTTTTGAAGGTCGTAGTGAAGAAGAGGATGAAGAAGATACATCCATATATCAAGCTGTCCTCTCACCAGACTGTCAAGATGTCCGACTTAAGAAAGGTTAGTGAATGAGCGTTTTGTTTGCAAATGGGACTATTCCTTCTGTGAATAAGTTTTAAATAATTCTCTCCTTTGCATTGCAGTTTAAATTGAGTTCATTTTCTGAAATAAGAGGCTAACTGGATATTCTCCTAGGCTGTATTTATATCAGACATATTATTTGTCCTGTCATAGTGATGAAGAAATACTTGGTAAAACTCTTCATTCATAAACCGATGTATTTTGATGTGAACTACAACCTAATGAAGAGCTGAAAAGTAGTGTTTGTAAAATAAGAACTAAATCATCCCTATTTGGTATATTGTTGTGGCTCTTGAAAGTTTTAATAAAGTTTTGTATGCCTTGTGATTGAGGCGACTGAATTGATGTGCTCTATTTGTGGGGATATAAGTTAAAAAAAATAAGCGGCTTTATTTCACAGAACACAGCAATTCTTGTGTAATCCAACTTTTTGAATACATTTCGATTTTTCACAGGGGAAGGAAATTATTGGAAACAATGGAAAATCCAAGCACTCATGCTTAATTACACAGTCCAGATTAAAACTTACCATTACACAAAGTGTAGTAAATTGTGAGGTATTAGATAAAACTATGTACTTATATATTAACATGTGGCCCAAACAATTATGAGGACAACTTCTGTGGCTGTTTTTTTTTTTTTCAAGGTTTAAACAAAAATGAAAATTAGAACCAAAAAAAATCACATTTTAATTTCTGGCAACCATTTGTAGGTGGTGTTTTCAAAATGGTGTAAAACGATCCATGTTGAGTTAACACCATTATATAAATTTATCTGCTTAAGAATCCAGGTGATGATGTGTAATGCCTTAGTGCTTCATGTTATGTAATATGCATGATCCCTACATCCATTCCATGTTTTTGGTGTCCATGCCAGTTGCTCAGTCAATGAACTTGTACTTGTGGTTGACTTTTAAATACTTAAAACTTACTTTCTTGAATCACCTGTTGGTACAACAAAATCTATTGCAAAGCAGGAAGTATATGACATTATTACTGCTTAAGATATTCTAATTACAGTGGATGAAAAATCACAGCAGCATCGTTTCTATAAAATGAGTTGTGTATGTGTATCTGTTATCATAGTCGTTTCAAGAAACACTTTTTTTTTAATGCACAATGAAACACACTTGAAGACATAATGATTCAAAAGATTTTAGCAATTTTACATGGAACTCCTGGAGAATGGATTTATGTCATGCATGTAATTAGAAACAGTAGTATATGTTAGTATTTATGGTTTATATTATAATTTAATATTAATATATGTGGTTTTAGATGTACTTGTAAGTATGGAGATTTATTACATGCTGATGGTTAAGCTAGTGTATAGATTTTTCACAAAAATTATGCTTGAATGCTAGTTGTATGTATTTCATTTATTGTGCCGGTTTGCTTACTTTTAATAAGCTTCATTAATTCCACACTGCATCATTGTCATGTGCACTGTGTAGAATATTCTAAAAGCTGTTGCAACTTGAGATGTACGGTGATATATGGATAATGTCACATACATGGGTTGGGTAATCGCAACTAATATATTCATGCATAATGATGTTTCTTTCCAAAAATAAGGGGTACTATGAGCAGTTGTTGATACAGTGTGTTCTTGTTTATTCCACTAAATATAAAAATTTTAAAATGAAATCTTGTTTTACAGAGAATCCTTNTGCCTTAATATGTATATATACATGTTAAGTTACATTATAACTGTATTAATCTTAAATATTTAATTTTTATTATTATTTTCTTGTACTCTTGAAATGTTTGTCTTATTTATGTTCTTTTTCTTTTTGTGTTTATACATTGTAGAACATTCTGAAGAAATTATCAGTATAATTAGTGAGCCACGCTTACCTTTTGAAAATACATCATCACATTCTCAAGATGAATTTCCAGCTGGTGGAAATAAAGGAGAAGATTTAATGGGTGTGAATGGAAATGATAACAAAACATCTGAACATTCAGATAGCTTGAAATATAGGTTACGTCGAGTATTGACTCCAAATCCTGAGGATGCTGTGTTGCCAAATTTATATGGAAACAGAGCTGCTATTCAAGTTCTTCCTGACACCTTACCCCAGGCACCACCAAATGCATCGTTACATCTTACAAAAGCTGTTTCATCTCATGACTTAAAAATTCTGGCTTCTCGTCAGAACAACAGTGGAACAAATGTAAATATGAAGAGCCAGTCTGAGTTAGATCTTAGAATGTCCAGTGATTTTAATAATGATTCTGTTACAGAGGATTCAGGTTTTATTTTCGAACGTCGTGATTCAAAACGTTTAGCAAAAAGGGACTTTGGTGGGCGTGTTGTGGAGGGATTGTTTGTGGAAAGCCCTCTGATCAGAGATGAGTCTAGTGTTGGTAAGTCAGGACTTCGGAAGATAGCATTGTCTCAAAGCCTGAAAAATATGGATAGCCCCACAGGTGAAGATCCACTTATTCCAGACGAAAATTCACCCAGTTTATCTTTGACACAAGACAAACAAGATTCAGTAGCAAAATTAGAAGAGGGGCTTAACTGTACTAATTTCAATATAAGCACAGCTTCCGAGAGAATATCCCAAGCATCAGCTATACCAAACAAGATGGTAACATCTGTAGATATACACAATGAACAGAGAGAGCGTGATACTGAAAACCGACCAGAAAATGGCACTTATCAGCCAGTTCCTAAAGTACGTACCAAACCTCTTACAAAAACATGCAGTACTCCAGTTTCTTCTAAGAACCAGCCCTTTAAAAGTCCTCCATGTCCGAAACCTCGACGGAAATGGCAGAGTTTATCAGAATCTAATGCAAACATTTGTAGTAATAACAGCAAGGACATTGAAAGTGTGGAGTTCCCCAGAGGACCTGTGGTGCTGCTGGATCCCATTGCTCTGCAACATCAGACATCAAGTAGAGGAGCTCCTAATATCAACCCTGATGGTTCAGTGGACATCCGTCAAGGTTGGTCATTGATCCATCCTCGGTGGTGAAATATGGGATCTTTGCATCTTGAAATGTTTGAAATCATGATTTCTGTATGAGCGAAATGGTACAGGGATGAAATCTTATTCCATTTAATTCTGTGTGGGCATATGGTGTTTGTAACAGGCTTTATGTACCCCATTTGCTTCTTTTTCAATTTCAACTTCTGGAGGAATGAAAATGGAAGTAGTGGAATGAGCTTTCCATTTATGCAGAAGTTCTTTAACTCATCCTTTATGCTTAGGATTATAAAAACACTAAAATCTTTTTGAACATCTTTGTACAAATAATTTAGCAGCATTGTAACAATGATCGCCCTTTTCCTAACATGAATACTAATGTAAATACTGTGTGTTGAATAATGGCACATTGATTTTCAATCTCTATGCTTTTTCCATGGCTTAATGTTGAATTTATTTATTTGTAAGTACAGTTAGTAGTTAATAATATTGTACTGAAAGTTAAGCATTGACCTATTTGTTATTTTAATTTAGGTTATGGTATGCAAGTACTTGGCTCTTGAGGTGTATGCTTCTTCATTTTGCTTGCAACAGCATGTCTGCTTTTATACTTATAGCATCGGCATTATTTATAACTACAAAGAAAGATAGTGTTATGTATGTGATTTATTCTTCTTAAAATAGTGCATGTATTATCCCTCTGGGAGAAAGGGGGAGAGCATATGCAGACTGTTCACAGAAAAATTATATTTAGTAGTGCTGATTTTACAGTGTAATAAATTCTCTTGCTTGCCAATATTTTGTGACCAGTTTAATGATTGTTGGATTTTGAACCAAATAAAAATATTTTATGTCAGTGTGCATCACACATGAGTTTTATGTCATGACCAACTCTATGGAGCAGCGCCCTTTTTGAGAAAATACTCGTTACTGAGCTGGTCAAGAAATTCTGTGCCTTTTATGGAACCCACTTGTTCATTAATTTCTACACAAGAATCTTACACTGAATCTTGTCCAGAGCTAGTTGAATCAAACCCACACCCTTTCATCTGATTTCCTTAAGATCCATTTTAATGTGTTTTGGTATATGCCTGGGTCGACCTAGTGGTATTTTCCTTTTAGATTAATCTACCCCTTTAACTACAGTACCTATTACAGCTGACTGGTATGTACTTCGTCTGACAATAAAGTTTGCAAAATCATTGTGGTAAAAGTGCTGTATACCTTATTGCTGAATATCACTGTGGTCACCTTCAAAGTACTCCCCTTGGGCATCTATGAACCGATGCCAGCACCTAGTCCACCCTTCAAGACCCTGTGTCCCACCTGATCTGTACTTCCATTAAATCTAACTTATATTTTGATATTTGTTTCACAACTGCCATGTGCAAACCTGCCCTATACAGACTTCTTACATTCCACATACCATATTTCATGCTCATTTTTCTTAGCTTAGGTCGTTTATCCAGAGAATCCCTCCAGGTGTGAGGCCCTTTGTGACATTTCATAAGAAGTTTTTTTTTTTTTATGGTGAGGAGTTATTGCCTGACACCCAACCTCCAAGCTGGATGTCCACCCCTTTTCAGCTGTCTGCGACTGCTTATTCATTATATTCGCAATTACCCTCCATGTCTGGAGGCTGTCTCCTCCATCTACAACCGGAGGACATGCCATGCCCTGATGGCAAGGGACCCACATAACATGGGTGGAACACTTGAGCTAAATGGATTTAAGTGTCAGCATGTTAGTTATTTGACAAACTTGTATTGATTGTGAGTACTACTTAGGGGTGACATTTACCTAATTTTGAAACACTGTTTTGAGCAGTCATCATTTTTGGTGGCACCATGATAAGATGAAATGATAACAGCTACGGACTTAATTATATATGTATATGTTGAGTAAAATTTTAATTAGAAATATTAAATAAATTATAGAAAATTTATAAATTAAGCCTGTAAATTTTCCAGTTGATTTTTGCAAGCCAGAAGGTTGCGGGTTCAAGTCCTGATGAGGTCATTGGATTTTTTTTTTAAATTGACCTAATCCTTCCAGCTGCACTATGGCCATGGGGTTCACTCAGCCTCTGACAGAAATGAGTGCCAGGAATTAATTAAATAATTTTCCTGAGGAATAAAGCACAGCTGGCATGTAAGGCTGACAACCTTACCGCCATCTTTGAGCTGATTGTCTAGATAATGTGGGACCCTCAACGTCTCACAACTCTATGGGCCTTCACAGCCTGGTACAGGGATAGCTTTACTTTACTTTTAGTTGATTTTTGCAAGTTCAGACTCTACAGTATGAAGATGCTTGGTGTTTCAGCATGTGCACAGTATTGTCATTTTTTTAACTTATGTGTAATGTAATAACTTCTATGTTATGATTGCAGAAACATTCCATTCAAACTACATTTTTATCAAAACTGTGATTTCAGTCCGCAAGCAAACTATAGCGACCGTCGCTTCTTGTGTGAATAAAGTTAATTTGGTGATATAACATTTTTTGTTTTGTTTTGTTTTCACAGTAAGTTTTAAATTGGAATCAGTTTTTTGTGATTCAGGAGTGAAATGTTATCACGTTGAAACAGTAACTGTTTTACTTGTATGTGTACAGACGTGTTGTAGTCAAACTTCAGTGGTTCTGCTGAAGTGAGAAAGCATTTCATGGCTGCAGGTGTGTAAAAGGTATCATGAGGATAACAATGGTAGTTTTATATGTGGCCTCAGATTTTCCTTCTAGTTGTCTGGTGTAGTGGGAACACTATAGACTTGCATGTGGGGGTGCTTAGTTCAAATCTCAGCTTGGTTGTTAGCTATCATGGCTGAGGTTTCTCATGGCTATTATCATTCCTTTGAAGAAAGTGCCAGGATAACATCCCAGTTAAGCAATATTGCTTTCTTCAAAGTTCTTTAAATTTTATTATTCACCAATCTTTCTACTATCCAGTGCTCTGTAATATGGGCTGCTGACAATGCTGTAAGATTTTTGTTATTGATGGTAAAGCCAGGTTCTGCCAAGTGACTGCTGTTGTTCAGGTATCAAGTAGGTGTGTTAAGACAGTAAATCCACATTCAGTTTTAAGTGTGAATGTGCATGTCTTTATTTGTATGTTGTTATTCACTTGAAGAGGTGAAAACAAGTGTACATGTTATACATGATTGGTGGCTTGGGAATCAATTTTATTCTTAAATTAACAAATTAATAATTGAAGACATTAATAATTATTATATTAAGCAGAAACATTTTGCTGTTTTTTAGCATGATGGTCTGTATTGTCAACCAGATTATAACAAAGATTGTGAGTTTTGAACTTTTAGAAAGTATGTAATATCTTGTGATGTAACCACTTAAGGTCAGACTTCATCTGGTTATTCATGTCTGCCAATTGTGCTTAACTTTGTAAATGTGTCAGGTAAAGGGGTTTATCATATAAGATGCATAAAAATCGTTTATCTTTCAAACCTTGAGAAAATTTGGGACTCCATTAGTCATGAATTTATTTGGCAGGGGTAAGAAATTTTTTTCTCTTCTCCACACTGTTCAGCCTGATTGTGGGGCCCACCCAGCCTCCTCTTCATTGGATAACAGTAACTTCTCCCTGGGCAGAAAGTGTCCAGAGTGTGAAGCTGACAAATCACTTCCCTTTAGTACTGAGGTTAAAATACATGAAGCTATATCTCCACTCTATACCTCTTCGTGGCATGATGCTTAAGTAAGGACATGGAAAATTTTGCCCTTTACGATAAATGATACAAACTCCGTCCCAAGTGCAAACAATATATATTATGTGTCTTTGATCTTGTTCTCTTCTACACTACATGTTTCGGCCTCTAACGGCCATCATCAGGTGTATACTCTTACGTTGCTGCCACACTGAACCCAGTCTAAAATTTAACATTTAAAAAACACATTGTTATTTTCTTCGTTATTATCAACATCTACCTCGTTGATATCTGTCTGGTATGTATATTATTTTGCACACGTCAATTTTGATTTTCCTGTAGTAGCACTATAAAATCTTTAGTTATAATTTTCTGTAAATTTTGAATTTAAATTTAAAATTTAAAATTGTAGGGTTACTCTCCCTGTGTCTAAAGTGCTGCAGCAGCTAGTTCTTGTTTCCACACTGTACAGGTGTTATTCTGTGTAGTCTTCCTGTGTGCGTGCCGCTGCTTGTCTTTACTACGTGTCTTTCTGTGTAGTCGTCCTGTGTCCTTCCTGTCTTCCTTAAATTTTAAATTTAAAATTTAGAGAAAATTATAAGGGATATTAAAATTATAACTAAAGATTTTATAGTGCTACTACAGGAAAATCAAAATTGACGTGTGCAAAATAATATACATACCAGACAGATATCAACGAGGTAGATGTTGATAATAACGAAGAAAATAACAATGTGTTTTTTAAATGTTAAATTTTAGACTAGGTTCAGTGTGGCAGCAACGTAAGAGTATACACCTGATGATGGCCGTTAGAGGCCGAAACATGTAGTGTAGAAGAGAACAAGATCAAAGACACATAATATATATTGTTTGCACTTGGGACGGAGTTTGTATCATTTATCGTGTAGAGTGCAACAGGATGCTTAAATATAATATTTGCCCTTTACCTTTATCCCTGTAGATTAAGAAGTAGCTTACATCAGTGTTGCTTTTCTTACTGAGGTGCTCACAGTGTTTATATTATTTTATGGCAACACAGTCCTCAAAGAACCATGCCCTCCTGTATGACAGATGCCCGTTATTCTCTATTATTTTCCGTCTTCCTCGATCTCTTCATTTTCAACTTTCATAAATTGTTCCTTACATCTTCCAGCCTTCTCAGTATGGCCCTTCACAAATTTCTTTTTCACTTTGGCTTACTTTAAAAACTTTTCTTACACGCCTTTGTTTGATATATTCTAATCACATGTTCAAAGCACTCCAGCCTTCTCCTGTAGTATCTGCCACCACATTGGGGGTTTTATATTGCTTAATTTCTATTGAATGGTGCTGATTTATACATGCAGTGTGGTTGGATCATGATGGGCTCATAAGTTATCTTAATATGGCATTTGTGTTGTATTGTGACATGAGTATAAAATTAAAGGGAAATTTATTATATGTGTTTCTGGTAGTTACTTCTTTTTCTGTTACATTAAATTTGTGATAAATAAAACTTGTTATGTTCACTCATTTCTTAGAACGCCCAGGAAGTTTAGTGGCTCCACAGCGTGGGGGCCGACGTAAGATCCGTGTAAGTGCTGACATTCTAACTGGCAATGGATCTGGTGGTGATACCACAGTCAATGGTGATGAATCTTCAGGTGAGAGCCACTTGTCGGACATGGATATGATGTCACCTGATGATGATCCAGACTTGGATGCACTTCTGTCACCTGACTTGGATACCCCTGATGAGATGGAGGACTCAATTATGGAACGTAAGTTTTCTTTAGGAGTGATGGAAAAGAAGAAGTGGCAATTATCTGTAGTTTTATTTGAGAAGGATTTTAGACTTACAAGACTCTTTCATGTAGTACTAGTGTATTATGGTGACATTTAAGATGATTATTTCCATACTCATCGTAATGCATTATAATCTACTTCCATAGGCAGCTGTGTTTCCAAGTGTAACTCATTTCTCACCAAAAGATAGCGTAACATTTTTTTCTCTTTTCACATGTTCTTCATCTACAGTTACCTGCTACAGTTCTGTTTTTGCAGTTATTGCAAGAATGGGATAGGTTGAAATTGGATTGATCAAGTATTAGGAAGTTAGAAGATCAGTCAAGATCGCCGTAAAAAAGGAATGAAATATTTGTCATCACTTGCTAGTAATGTGTGGAAATGCTGTTTGTCATCTCCTGCAATGCAGTATAATGTAATTAACATGACTGTTGTCTCCTCTCCTATGTACTTTTGAGCTTACTAGGATTCATTATTAATTTTATGCCATAATATTGAAATACTGAAGATGTATTTCATGAGGAGACCTGTGGCATACACCCTTTTGGGTTGTGAAAGAAGCCAAGAAATTATGAAAATACTGCAAATTCCACAATTACCAAGAATTTGTAGAACAACACAGGAGAACTTGTAGAGAACACGGTGACAGGATGAACTCTAGCAGGATGCCCCCCCCCCAAAAAAAAACACCTAAAATGTGAAGCAAGAAAAGGAATGTGTTTGATACCTTCTTGAATGTCTGTGAACCCATATTGAGAGAAGAGTCTTTGTCATCTCCTCTTCTCTTAACTATTTTCATTGTCTTGTGTAGGTATCATTAATTTGGTATATTGTTTGTACAGGATTAGGAGAACCTCCTCCAGCACGAGTTCCTATTCCAGAGTTGAGTGCAACAGAAGAGCGAGCTGAAGCTCGTAGTTGGCGCAACGTTCTCGTAGCTGGCTTGGAGCGTCGGATAGACATGAAAGTCATTGAACCTTACAAGAGGGTTAGTTTCACCATGTCTTTTAAGTTTGTTAGTGCCAATCAGAAAAGTACTCTGTTTGTATTGTAAAATCATTTAATTCATTATTTGTTTATCTGCTGCCCTTTCTGTAGGAGTTAGGATAGCTTAGTGTACTGATGGGCTGTAGGCTGGATGGCTGGGGTTTGATTCCTGCTAGGGGTAAGAGTTTTGTCTTCTTCACAGCATCCAGATCGGCTCTGGGGCCCATCAAGCTTCCTATCCAATGAGTACCAGGGGAAATTTCCCTAGGAGTAATGTGGTCGGAGCATGAAGCTGACCACTTACCTCCATCTAGTGCTGAGATGAAGAATGGTGGAGCTGTACCTCCACTCTCCCACTTGTCTTCAAGGCATCGTGCTTAATTAATTAAGCACAGGGACAGCTTTACCTTTACTGCCCTTTCTGTTCCTGTTAGCCTTAATCTTGTCAGACAGAATGATCCTTTGTGTCTCTGTAACAGACTGATGAATTTATATCGATCTGCTTATACTTTAAGCTGGAGTAAGTGTTTCATACATTTAAACATATTGACATAGATGTACAAGAGCATGGGGCACACAGTAGTGTAGTTCGTTGAGGCACTATGCTACAAGCCAAAAGGTTGCGGGATCGAATCCTGATGAGCTCATTGGATATTTTTCAATTTACCTAGTCTTTTCAGCCGCACTATGGTCCTGGGGTCGACTCAGCCTCTAACAGAAATGAGTACCAGGAGTATTCTTGGAATATTCTTTGGGGGTAAAGGGCGGCCGTCATGTAGGGCTGACAACCTTACCAGCATCTATGAGCCAATTGTCTAGAAAATGTGGGAACCTCAACATCTCACAACCCTATGGGCCTCCAGGGCCTGTTACAGGGATAGCTTTACTTTTACTTTTTTGTACCAGAGCACTCTAACTTAAACACAGATGCATGTCATTAGCCAGCAAGAGCAGAGTAAACATTAAGGCACTCTCATCATGCACATGTAATTTTAGCCACTGATTACATGCTATAATATTTTATTTTTCAAATTATAGGTGTTGTCCCACGGTGGGTATCTGTCAGCTGGGTCCCATAATGCAATCATTGTGTTCAGTGCTTGCTTCCTGCCAGATCGCAGCCGTGTGGACTATGATTATGTCATGGACAATCTTTTTTTGTAAGGAAATATGCATTATGTAGAAGTATGCATTGTTTATAATAATTAGAGGAAAATACCAAGTACACATAGAGCAGGGATTGTCAACTGTATGTGTGCAAGCATGTTTTGTGCCCTTTGAAGGGTTTTTGAGTACCCACACATAATAATTTCTTAACTGTTTGCTGATGGTTACAAAGTATTTGGTGCTTTGTTTCATTCTGGTCCGTCACACTAACAATATTACAAATGATGAAACAATTCCGTCCAGTGTGACTGTTGAAGCACACTACGAACAAACATTGGACGACAACAAGAACTACCTTCACAAGTTCGGCCCCGTTGAGAAAAACGAAAGGACAAGGGACACGAACCTATTCGGTTAAAGAATTTTAACTTAAATAACAAAAAGTTAAAAAAAAAAAACTTTAATGAATCAAGGACAGTTGCTGTAGTTGTAAGAAATTTGGATTTTGTATAAAGTGTATATTACAAATATTGTATATTTATGTATTTTAAAAATCAAAGTGCCCAATGTAATAGTAGTTTCTAAAAGTATTGCTGTTCCCTCTGATGATGGTCTACAGGGACCAAAACATGTTAGGGTGCTAAGAAGTGAAGTAATAAAAGCTTCAACAGTCACACTGGATGGACTTGTTTTATCATTTGTAAGTATTTGGTGATTTCTGCTGCATGAACCAGTTCTCTCCATTGCTAAGGAATTCTGAACATTTAGATTATGTTCAGACATCGATGGATTTGAGTGTAATATGTACAAGTGACCTTTACTTCTAAAATATCTTATTATTTTTGGAATGTTTTTTTTTTTGTGAGACTGTATGCTTAAATGATGTTTTAGAAAGAACTTTATGTGAATTTGCATAGCTATGTGTAATGTAGTTATTTTTATTTGCATCACTCCCTTATAGTAGCATTGTACAGTGGCTGGTATAAAGTATAAGCTTCTTATAATTGCCTGTTTTGTAAAAATGGTTGGTGACTCCTGACCTAGAGGATTTGGAAACAGGCAATTCAGTCCTACATAGTTCTTGGTGATGGTGACTGTGAATTGACAATGTAATTGACAAAATCTTGGATGAAACAATTTGCTTTGATGATTAGAAGATATAGAAGAATGAAATTATGCTAAAAGTTAGGAGAGGTCTTGAGTGAAATGATTTAATGTGTGAACTAAATTTTATGGAACTTGATATAAAAATTAGTGTAATATTTTGGGTCGTAACATGTGATATTAAGTGCAGAGAATGGCAGAGTATCTTATAACTATCTTGAGTTATTGGCAATCAACTGTTGAATGATAATTTACATGGTAACCTATGTACTTGTGACACCAGTGGACCACATACTTGTAACACAATGGAAGTAACTGTATTCACTAAGATTGTTTCCATTGTTTTATCTTTTAGTATGAGTGGTGTGTTCAAAAAGTATTGAACCTTCTTTTTTCCCGCATAAACCAATGAAGCGCGGGAGGCTCCCTTCGGTGGAGATGTCGAGGGGACTTTCATGCGCAGTCGTGAATTTTTTCCCGCCCGAAGAAAGTGTCAGTCGCTGGCAGTCGGCCTATGAGCGAGGACGTGTAGTGGGTGCTTGTCGGATTCCAGTAAGGTGTAAAATGACGGAACAACATGAGCAGCGATATTGCATCAAATTTTGCCAAAAGCTTGGCGATACCCAAGTGGAAACCATTTGCAAGATTCAACAGGCTTTCGGGGACGATGCCATGAGCAACTCATGGATAAAGGGGTGGTACAACTGCTTCAAAGATGGTCGCACATCGGTGGACAGCAAACCGCATTCAGGCAGACCCTCAACAAGCCGAAATGAGAATGTCATTGAGCAAGTGCGGACTTTGGTCATGGAAGACCGTCGTATCACAGTCCGAGAACTTGCAAACGAGATAGGGGTAAACATTGGATTGGTACATTCAATTTTGACCGAGGATTTGGGCATGAGGAGAGTGTCCGCAAAATTCGTACCGAAACTGCTAACAATGGAGCAGAAGCAACTCTGTCTGGAAAGCGCACAGGACATGCTGGACAATGTAAACAGTAACCCCAACTTTCTGAACACCGTGATCACATGCAATGAGTCATGGGTTTATGGGTTCGACCCGGAAACCAAGATGCAGTCGTCACAGTGGAAACATCCGACATCCCTGAGGCCAAAAAGAGCACGGCAGGTCCGCAGCAATGTCAAGGTCATGTTGGCCAATTTCTTCGACTCCCGTGGGGTTGTGCATCATGAGTACGCACCACAAGGCCAAACCATCACAAAGGAATACTACCAGGAGGTCCTTCATCGCCTTCATGATGCTTTGCGGTGCAAATGACCAGATCTGTGGGCAGCAAAAACTTGGCAGCTCCATCATGATAACGCACCCGCCCATTCTGCACATCTCATGTAGACTTTCGTCACCAAACACAACATCCCTGTGGTTTGTCAGGCTCCCTACTCCCCCGACATGGCTCCATGTGACTTTTGGCTATTTCCCAAGCTGAAAATGCCACTGAAAGGAACCCAATTTGAGTCAAGAGAAGACATCATGCGGAATGCGATGGCCTGGCTGATCACCATTCCAAAAGACGCATTCCACAAGTGTTTCCAACAATGGCGGAAGCCCTGGGAGAAGTGTGTGCATTACCAAGGAGACTACTTTGAAGAGGATTAGGATTTTGTACCTCCAAATCAATAAATGTATTTCTGCCGACCAAAGGTTCGATACTTTTTGAACACACCAAGTATTTAATAACTATAAGATCTCTCTTTTTAACTATATTTCAGCTATGTCCTCACTACTTTGGATGAGCTGATCACAGAAGATTATGTTTTGATCTACCTCCATGGTGCAACTTCAAGGAGTTGTATGCCCACTTTCTCATGGCTCAAACGGTGTTACCAGATGATTGATCGACGGCTTCGTAAGAATCTCAAAGGACTGTACCTTGTACATCCTACATTTTGGCTCAAAACTATTGTTATAATGACCCGCCCTTTCATTAGGTAAGTTCATTCTGTAGTCAGAATTAGGGATATTTGTGTTCTGCTTTGCTCTGCTAGAAGTGATCGAATCTTGGTTTATTTAATGATGCCTTTTCAGTTGCTTGTTTTATATAGCATAGACGGGTAGGATGGTTTAGGAGTGATGAATTTGAAAGGATGTGGAAAAAACCATGGCCAATTTTAAAGTATAGTTTTGGTATTCATATTGTGACGTGGATGGCGCAACGGGAAGCGGGGGTCATGTGAACTCTGCATTTCCTCGATTGACGTCACATACCACCAATCCTTCCACCAGTATGCAACGCTCGGTAACCCCCCCCCCGCCATAACATGCCAGAGGAGCAACTGCGCCAGGCAACCATTGCCACGGTGACGTAACAAGGAATACCGCGGTTACTACCCAGCCGTAAACAACTCCCCACAGCATTGCCAGCAACACCTGTAAGCACGGCAACTAGGCAACAAGGAAGCGAGGTGCTTTCCGCTGTCTGGCTTAGGGTTTATAAGAGAACTGCACTGCCTAAGGAATCAGTTAAAATGTAGCAGCCACTGAAGACTGTTGAAATATAGCAGCGGTCGCGGAAAGAAGACCCGAACGCGTGGTTAGAAGATCTTATGTGACAGTGTACGATAACTGAGAAGTCAGCAAGTGAAGACTTATTGTGTGACTTAAAGACTGTAGTACAGTTATATTGGAGTGTGTAATTAAGAGAGACTTGTATAGCTCCCGAGTTATAAATACATGAAGACTACTGAAGAGATTATTGTGTAGGTTGTAAAGTGTGTACTGTGTTATAAGTACTTGTAGTTAAAACTTGTAGGTTGTTAAATAAACCGATTAACAATCCGAACGGCGTCATCAGTAGCAAAACACGTTACAATATAAAAGAATTGAGGAAAACTACAAGAAAACCTCCAGTGAGGACAGCCAGCCTCTTAGCTGAGATTTGAACCTGGAACTTGCCAAAAACTGTGAAACCCCCATTTAAGGATTCTTTGAAAGTAGGGGATCTGAACACAGCTGAGAAAATGGAATTTAATAATGAGATGTTTTATTTTAGATCACTGAAATTGAACTTTAACCTTTATCCTACTGCCCTTTAAACTTAGGCTTTGTGAGCGGTACGGAATTATTTAAAGGGCCGCTCTTAGATATCCGTAAGAGCTGTAAGTTACTTACTAATTTTGCTCCTATTTCTGCTATTTCTGTGATAATCGAACGAAATAAACGCTGTTTTTTTCTCGAAAGAATATAGAATCAGATATTGTAATTTACAGATTGTATAAAACATGTTAAAATTTTTGCACTGACTCCAAAAAGAAATTTGCCAATTTTTTTCCTTCTCTGCGAGAATTCATACGTTTTGGACACCCCTGAATGTCATCTGCTGGATGGCGACATTAGTCCAAGTAACGGTAACAGACCGGATGTTGTGTCTAGAGACGTTATCGCAGTCTGTGACGAACTTCAACTGGAATGTGGTCAGTGGAAGAGAGATATAAACTCACGTGTTGTTTATAGATCTCTCCTAAACAATACGTATACTGTTCATCTACAGTTCAATGCTAGCATTCTTTATGCATGCGTTGC